GCCCCTTTAAGGGCTCCGGGGCTGGGAGGGGGGCAGAAGAGTTTTCCTGGTTTGGCCCAGAGTGGCCACCAGGGCAACCTGGTAAGGACTAGCCTTCAGCTAGTTTGAATTAAGTGGCTACACAGCCCTTAATTCGAACTACTTAATTCGAATTTGGCGTTACTCCTCGTAGCATGAGGTTTAGAAAGTTCAAATTAAGCGCTCCGCTAGTTCGATTTAAATTTGAACTAGCGATTTGTATGTGTAGCTCCTATCAAAGTTAATTCGAACTAACGTCTGTTAGTTCGAATTAACTTTGTAGTGTAGACATACCCTCAGATCACACAGCGCACAGTAGCCTTCTGGGGCAGAGGGAACCTACCCTGCCCACTTTCTTGAGCCCTGATGCCTTGAACACTTTCTACAATCCAAGGGACCAGGGGAGCTGAGCCCCTGCATAAGGTTGGGGGGCATCTCCACACTCCCAGAAGGGGCAGGGTTCAGGCAGCCAGCCCTCAGCACCAACCTAGACCATGGTGCAAGCCCTCAGCACTACCTGGAGGATGCTGCGTGGTGCTCTGGCGGTGATTTAAAGGGTTCGGGACTCCAGCTGCTGTCGCTGGTGCAGTAGTGGCAGCAGTAGCTGGGACTGTTTGAAACCACCAGGGCCAGAGGCAACTGTCCCATTTGCCCCCCTCCCTGACAATTCAGCAGGCCTGCAGGGCCTGCAGGGGACTCTGAGCTGGGATTTGAGAAGGCCCTATAGGGATGTTTAGTGTTTTGTTTGATCTGTACTTTTCTGTGCTTTATGTACAAGTGTTCACCATACACACTCTTTGCATGTGTGTATATTGAACTACTGCCTGCCCCTGAGATAGCGAAACTAAGTCACATGCCGGAGTGGAGTTCAGGGAGCGTGTGCTATTTTGGGGGTTAGTGCTGGTCCTGGGGGCCTATGGAATGTGGGCTGAGGCCCCCTTTTCTGAGAAAGGGTAACTGATAGCTCAAGTGCCCACGAAATGTGACATGAGGACAGAGGGAGGAAGAAAACAGAGCTGCAGCCTACTGAGCCTCTAGAAACTTGAAACTCTCCATAAATCACGAACATCAGAGGTTGAGATTCCCCTCAGAGTAGCAACCCTAGGGCGTGGCTGGCATGGAGGGGCACTAGGGTCTTTGACCCTGGGGTCCAGCCCCTCAGCCATGGTAGAGTGCCAACACATTATACATACATTATATGTGGTAAGAAAGAGCAGAATAGTATTACAGAAATAAAACCATAATTGTGGATTAAAAAAATTGCTGTAACTGAATGATGATATTTACAAAGTGTGGAGCCTGGGGCAGCCAGCCCGAACTGTCCTATGGATGGGATGACTCTGCCAGTGCCCAACAGAAGGGAATAATCACTTTCCTCAATCTGCTGGCAATGGTCCTACTAATGCAGCCCAATATTCTGTTAGCCTTCTTGGCAACAAGGGCACACTGATTCATTTGAAGTTTCTTGTCTACTGTAATCCCCAGGTCCTTTTCTGCACAACTGCTGCTTAGCCAGTAGGTCCCCACCCTGAAACAATATTTGGGATTCTCCCTTCCTAACTGCAAGACACTGCACTTGTTCTTGTTGAATCTCAGATTTTTTTTGGCCTAATGCACTCTGGACCTTACCCTACCTTCCCATATATCTACCTCTCCTCCCAACTTAGTATCCTCCACAAACTTGCTGAGGGTGCAAACTTGCCAAGGGTCCATCTACAATGCAATTCCTACTGTACTGGGAGATAGTCACAAAATGCACATCCAAGGACAGTGTTATAGGATGGGAAACAAAGCATGCTCTGAAGAACCACATTTCCACTGTGGTTGTGAATGACAAATTTACAGAAGCCAGAGGATGCAGAACAGTTCAGGAACATGGTTAAAATTAATTTTAGTTTTATCTACATGACAAAACATGTTTAAAACCACATCAGGACACTGGTATTATAACCAAGTCACTCAGTACAATTTGGATTTATAATGTAGATGTGAGCTAAACATACTTATGTTAAGCCTTCTTAGCATTGCTGTATGAGAGCCTTATTTTGTAGCCTTGTCCTTAGAAACAGAATCATGCTGAATGAGGTTTAAACACTGTTGTTGCTAGGGTTCTAATATGGATGCCCTAATGCAAAAAAAGAAAGATATATCTCTTTTTCTCTTTTTTTCTGAAGACTGCCAAAAACACATTAATGGACAAGCCAGAGAGTTTTCTATCTTTCAGTCAGTCAAACCTTCCCCTCCTGACTCCAGGGAGAAAAAAAGTTTTAAGCTCCTCACATAAAACTGTTCCCCCCTTGAATAAGCCATGAATACTGCCCACATTATTATGAGCAGGAATTCTTTGCTCCTCTCTGTGCTCCATTGGTGGGATGGTGTTTTTTCTCTGTGCTCTACTAATAGCTGTTCTGGGGCTCAAGAAGCAGCAAATCTAGGATGCTTGGAGGCCTCTTGGTCACCTTCTCTTGTTATCTTTTCTAGTTCTTCAAGATGTAGAAGCTCCAGGATACTGCTCAAGAAAGTGTTGCTGTTCTTTTTGCCTATAAATTACCTAGTTAGGACTTGTGAATGTCAGGTAGACAGAACAGTAAGGAGCAATCATTTCTGCAGTGCAGACAGACAAGATTTCTTTGTATTACAATAATGCCTGAAAGTTCTATCATCCCAGCATCATGTTAGGTAGTCTGTGTGTCCAGAAATATAACATAGAAAACATGTATTGTATCCTTTGGTATATATGGTTGTGACTACTTTCTTCCACTATTTGATCTGAGGAAGCGGGTCTGGCCCACGGAAGCTCATCATCTAATAAACCATCTTGTTAGTCTTTAAAATGCTACATAGTCCTGTATTTTGAAGAAGTGAACTGGCAGCCAGTAGTTATTCTTCTCAGCTAAGGAGAAGTTCCTTTTCTTTTTGGTTCTCAGCATGCCTCTCCTTTAATGCTCAGTATCTGTTGCTGGAGGTTCTACTTCAGCTAGACTGAAATTCATACCAGGGTCTTCTGATTGCTCAGTGCCACTGGACTAAGAGGCAGGGTCGGCTTTAGGCTGATTCGACCGATTCCCCCGAATCAGGCCCTGCGCCTAAGAGGGCCCCACGCCCTAACGCCGGAAGTGTGCTGGTGTACCGGGCGCGCTGCGGGAGGGGGCGTCGGCCCTGAAGGAGGCGCGCGGCAGCTTCTCTGCACTGCAGAAGGGGTGAGTCGAGCGCAGGGGTTTCTCTGTGCCATGGGAGGCGGGGGGGTCGGCCCCGGGGTTTGGTGGGAAGGCAGGACATGACTCTGCCCTCTAACTGGCGATTTAAAGGGGCTGTGACTCTTCTTTTGTCAGCGGTATTTTTTTTTTTGCTCAACAAAAAAATCCTGGTTGCCGGGGCCCCATTGAAACTGTTCGAAGGCCCCGCACTTCCTAAAGCCGGCCCTGCTAAGAGGACAATCATGTGCTAACTGGTTGTTTCAGTGCAGTTAATATAAATACAAATGATATTTAGGATGATAATAGACATCTGTCAGCAGACCAAAGAAGACCATGCCCAGCAGGTACAAGCAGGAATATAATCTGGTCATTCAAAAAGCCAACTCATTTAAAATTAACGTGGTTTAAAATTAAATAGGTGGTATCCTCAGGTCACATCCACACTTAACTCTCCCTTCTCTCCTCCCAAGTTCTCCCTGATTTTAACAAATGTAGTTAAACTTGATTGCCACTTAACTGTGTTCCATGTGATAGTTTAGTCTGCATGGAGGGGACTGAGTCATGTTATAATGGGATTCAAAACCCTATTCCAGTTGTTAGAACAAGTTTAAACCGCAACCAAGTTTAATGATTTTTTTGACGTGGTTGTTTTCAGTCTGTAGAGAGGGTCTTAGTTTGGTAGCATGTAGTTTTCATAATAAGGTTCTAATAGAATTTCCGGGCAAACAAATCTCTATTCTGAATAGTTAAGGAAATTTGCAATAGTGGTGGTTAATTATTGTTAGAATTAACATTGTACTCTGTCTGAAGTAGAAGAAAACTTAAATCTTCACGTGAAAGATGATGCAGTAATGCAGCATTGTGTAAGAGGAAAGAAAATGGATTGAACCATTTGCAATTTACTATAGAAAAGACAAATAAGAAAATGGTGTACTTATAAGAAAATTTTAACACTAACCTGTCGCAACATGGCTTTAAATGCCATATGCCTTAATCTCATTGTTAGGGTTTCTCCAGACCTCCCGTAAAGAAATCCCTGCAAGTGGGAGAGGGGAAAAAAAAGAAGTAAAAAGCAGCAGTGCCTCATATCTTGATTTTTACTACTTTCAGTTGAAATGGCAGTCTGATACTATTTATACATCAAGTGCAGCCATTTATTACAAGCATAGCACGCAAAGGCTAGATGCGAACATAAAATTAGCAAACATGAGCTGAACAATACAGCTCCAGAACCAGACATTCTCCCATCCCATCATGCCACAATTCCTCAGCTGCCAGCCTTAAATTCATAGCTGGTTACAGTAGTTACTAGAATGCAGACTGCTGTTCAGACTAATTATTTTATGGATGATGGGAATTTACCTGCAAAAACCAAGTGATAAAGCAAACCACACCTATCGCAGCAAATATGATGGAGAAAATGTTAGCTTCATGCCGGATCCTCTCTGGATCATCTTTTATTGAAAAAATCTGCAAAAATAGAAGGAAGAACATCCCAATGTTTTATTAACCAGCCTATTAAAAGATGCTGTATAACACTCAATTCTAGTTTATCTAGTTTCTAACATCCTTGGGGAAAAAGAGAGGAGACCATTTATATGACTATTTCAAGGTTTCAGAAGGGTAGCTGAGTTAGTCTGTAACAGGAAAAACTTAAAAAACAATAGTCTGGTAGCACTTTAAAGACTAACTAAACATGTAGATGGTATCATGAGCTTTCAAGGGCACAGCCCACTTCTTCAAATGAAGAAGTTTTTCCTATTTCAAGGTTAACATTAATGAAAACCAAGGGTTAAAAATTTTCAAAAGCACTCATTGACCTTTCTGCCTCACATTGGCTCCCCATCCTGATAATCCTGGTGCTATATCGCTGCGGTTTGGCTACTGAATTACGTTTATTCAGATCCCTAGGCACTAGCATCGGAGACTGCAGTAATTTCTGTACCCGTAGGCTGGCTTTGGAATGCTGAAGTCACAATTAGAAAGAACAAAAATCAATTTTTTTAGCAGAACAGAGGTTAGGCCTCTAATGCTGGCCTGTAAGAAAACTGTTTCTCTTGATATTTCAATAGGCATAATCTTTCATGATTAAAGTAGGACCTGCTTCATTCAGTGCAGAAAGAGCCTCATCCATGTTAGAGAGAGAGAAAAAGGTGTGAGTCAGTGATTGGAAACTTCTTTGGTCTACATTACAACATGCGCTAAAAATAATAATCCCTCAGTGGCTTTGGACAACGTGCATGTCTCTGCCTCAGCGTGTGTAAACTAGGGATAATCTTGCCTTCCTTCCCAGATATGTTGAGATATTCATTAGTGTTCATATAGTACATTGAAAATGATAAAAAAAATGCAATGTAAATACGAAGGATCATTATTCTATGGAAAACTCTTAGTCCTAACCATTTTTAAATTGAAAGATGTAAAACCATTCAGAACCTAAGAAAACCATGTTTGCAATAATGCTATAATCTTCTTATGTTGGGTGCTCAGTGACCCAAGAAACAGTTGGGAAATTATGCTAGCCAATTTTTGTGAAGACTTTTTATATAAAAACTGATTTTAAAACTGTCCTGGTTTCATTGAAATGTACATGGGGCCAGCCATTCCTGTCAAGTCATCTTAACTGGCACCCTTCTACAATTACATGATGGAAAAGTCAACACTCCGCTTTGTGATGAAGTAAGGATTGTATTGTCCTTGCTATGTTGCATGTGAGTTCTACTGTCCTGTAGTAACCCTGTGTGTGCCTCAGTTTCCTGGGGCACCTAAATGGTGATGGGAATGTTGGTGTAATAACTTCCCCCACATACATTATGGCATATGCCTTTTGTAACCTGAGTCCAGGAAGGGTATGAGACCAGGTAGCACCTTTTACCTGGGAAGCAAGACTAAGGCTGGAGGAAGGGCTTGGAGAATGGAGGGGGAATTGACTGTGAGCCCCTCTCCCCCAACATGCATTGTGCTGACAGCTTTTGGTTATTATATTTACAAGTCTGTTCTACGCTGTATCCCTGTTGACTAATAAACCTTCTCTTCTACCTGCTGGTTGAGAGACGCATCTGACTGAGGATGAGGATGCAGTACCCAGTGATTGTCCCCAGACTCAGTGATATACTTACTGTTATAATTTTAGCAAAGATGATGGAAAAGGCAGGATGACATGCTCCACTAACAACAGCAGCTAGAGTCCCCAATGCAATGAAAGGCCACTCAGACCTGTTTAATCTAAAAAGCTTGAGGAAAGAAACTTTGGGGAGGTGTTCCTGGAAAAGAAAAGAAAGAACAGATTAAAATGAAATTTTACTTTTGTCAAAAACAACCCATTTGCAAAGAGAGCTGAATTGCATTATGGTGGCTAGAGGAAAAATTGAGTTTAAGAACCCTGGACCCTTATAGAGAATAAGGCAGGTATCTGGAACAACTAACTACAGGTAACAAGACTGGCCTAAAGCTATTTGTAAGAGTATTCCAGAATGAGTGTTTTTTAACAGCAAACTTCATGCTTTTTCCTTACCTACAGTAGCACCTTTCACCCAAGCATCTCACAGAAGCTCTACAAAGGAGCTCATGTGTTACATATGTTTTATAGAGGAGGAAATGAGGTACTGAGAAGTGAAGTGATTTTCTGAAAGTCACCGACTGAATCTGATATACAGCATGAGGAAGCGCACACAATCCTCTTGACTCCCTGCGGAAAAGTCTTTGCTATATACCTCTTTTTAGAGGTGCTCTGATCTCTCTGGAAGAACTGTGCAGGTTCATTACTGCCTGTTGAATCTATTTAGGATTAAAAAACAAAGAATCACAAACATAACCAACCAAAAAATTAAGCCACACTAAAGCGTTACCTCTTCAGGTGCGGCTTCTTCTTCAGTCTTTTTCTGAGAAACATGGTTTATGCTTGCTCTTTTAGAAATCAGCCCATTGACAGGGGATACTTCATGATCTTTTAAGGAAATCATTTCTGTGGATTCTTCGCTGTCTTCTGTTTTAATAGACTTTAAACACAACATAAATTCAGTCACAAATGAATCAAAAAGGTCAAAATAGTTGCATTAGGAAGACTCCACTTCCATTTACAACTTCATGTAGGTTCTGTGAAACCCTGACGGCTATTTTGGGTTTAATCCTCTGAGTACATTTGCTGCTTAAACCCTTACTAAGCAGAAACATAAAAAAGCCGAACTACTCACATCCTGAAGTCCAGCTACAGAGGTTACCTAAACATTTACACAAAAAGCTAATGTTTTGTGGCAAGCATTAAGGAAGCCATACTTTCTTCCACCAACCTAATCCTGTGAGCTTCCGTTGATTTCCATAAGATAGGAGATTGCTCAACGCCTTTCAGCAGTGGGCCCAAAAAGTTGTAAGCAAACAGTACATAAAGTCTACTTTGATATATTGTTTTCATTCTGTTTTTTTAAATGGTTTTCAAAACTCATGAGAAAATGTGTTAGTTCTCCCACTTTAGGTCAATATCCTGGCCCACTGAAGTCAGTGGCAACACTTACCGACTTTGAAAGACACACGATTTCATCCCTAGTATTTTGAAAATTTTTCCTGAATTTCCTTCTAGTTTATCCTCCCACAGAGAGTATCATAGGGTATATCTACACAACAGAGTTTTGTCGGAAAAATGGCCGTTTTTCAGACAAAACTTGAGGGACACCCACACTGCAGTTGTGTTCTTCCTCAAGAAAATTGAAAGAACAGAGAGGTGTTTTCTGGCATTGGTAATTACCATTATACGAGGAAGAAACTTATTTTGCAAAAGAGCTCTTTTGTAAAAAGGTGTGTGTGAATGGGGAAGAGGGAGTTCTTTCAGAAGAAGAGGAAAGAGGAAAAAGCACATGTGCCCTGGTGGCCATTCCGTCCATAGCAATCACAGCTTACATGCGAGAGAGCATCCATTCAGTCTGGATGCTCTCTTCTGAAAAAAGCTTCCTCGGAAAGAAGCCTGTAGTCTAGACGTAGCCACAGTGGGCTATTCTGAATCACACAGATGAACGAATCCATGATGATATAACAGTTCTAAAGTATTGCATATAAGGAAGTTGCATACTAATAGGCTATGTCTAGACTGGCATGATTTTCCGGAAATGCTTTTAACGGAAAAGTTTTCCGTTAAAAGCATTTTCGGAACAGAGCGTCTAGATTGGCACGGATGCTTTCTGCAAAAGCACTTTTTGCGAAAAAGCGTCTGGGCCAATCTAGATGTGCTTTTCCGCAAAAAAGCCCCGATCGCCATTTTCGCGATCAGGGCTTTTTTGCGGAAAACAAATCTGAGCTGTCTACACTGGCCCTTTTGCGCAAAAGGACTTTTGCCCGAACGGGAGCAGCATAGTATTTCCGCAAGAACACTGACAATCTTACATGAGATCGTCAGTGCTTTTGCGGAAATTCAAGCGGCCAGTGTAGACAGCTGGCAAGTTTTTCCGGAAAAGTGGCTGATTTTCCGGAAAAACTGGCCAGTCTAGACACAGCCATATGGTTTAAAACACAGTTTCAAGAGTCAGAGCAAGCCATGCTTGTCTTGAAACTATTTTAAAAAACGAACAATCTTTTAAAGTATATTCATGAGTTTTCTAGAATATGGCTTAAAAGCAGCCTACTTCTATCTACTGGATGTTCTTAAATGGTGGTGTTATCGGGAGTGGATTTAAACCATGGTAACATGAGTGGCATGAAAAAACACCACTTTAAAATTGTTCCACTGCGACAGCCTTACTGCCAGTCAAGCTCTTGTCTCCATTAAACAAACTACCAACTCTTCTCTCACAGCTGGGCTAGCAACTGGGGCAACCAGGTATCTTAGCTTCTACTGTAAACCTGGTTGGATAACATGGTAGTAAAAAATGCCAGTGCCCTGCCTGCAATATGCTAGTATCATTTCTACCATGGAAGAGGTTGCACTAGTGCTGGAGCAACAGCGGGGGAAATGCTGAATATTCCCACTTTATGCACAACTGCAATGATACATGCAAAATTAGATGTATCGGTGTGGAGTGCAGATCTAAAATAAAAATTAGGAAATAAAATTACAGACTAGAAAATTACTGTTTCTTTGGAACCATCTTTGGGCTGTGAAAGATTCCATCCTCCTTTTTAGTTGAGATTCCACACAGAGGAGAGGCCAAAGGAGCTGTGCTATAAGGAAGCTGGAGGATGGGGAAGGAGGCCAAATTTTAGCACGTCCTGGAGTATCTGGAGTTTGGGGATCAGAGTGCCCTGCCTTTTTTGGGGAGGCAGGGGGGAACAAACCCAGTGACATGTACAAACAGAACCATCTTGGGTTTTTGGCAGGGAGGAGGTGATTTGGCTTTTTAGTGAAAGTTGTGACTCTTACTTTCTTGGCAGAGTAACAAACTCAATGCATATACTAGTATATGTGTATGACCTGCTTATTACACGAACTTTTAAACAAACAAAGTTGCTGTATCACAACCAAAACACTTTTACAAAGATACCAAAGTTTTGCTGTGAAATACCCAAGAGACTTCTTAAGCGAAACAAAACAGCTCCACACATCTACATTCTCATTTCTAGCCTTTATAGCTGAATTTACAATTTTATTGTACCTGAGCGGTGGCAAGTGCATAATATAACCCCTTTCTCTTCATCAGCTCTGTATGAGTTCCTACTTCAGCCACTGCACCATCTGCTAGGGCCACTATTACATTTGCAGTCCGAACGGTGGAAAGCCGATGAGCTATTACAAGAGTGGTCCGACCTTTGCTGGCCTGGAAACAAAACAGCCAAATTGTAATTCGTGTCCCCCGTGGCTTGGAGATTTAGCGTAATTTACTCTAATTTGTCACACTGAGACTGTAGTTGTTTCCTATTGATTTCATTTGCTAAACATCCTGACAATCCATGAGTTTTTCCACAACTGACTCAACTAGAAACCTTGTGAGCCCGGATTCCTTCTCTGCTGGGCTACAGGAAATGCACTTGCTGGCATCCACACTAAACAAAAATCAGAAAGCTTGTTTTGCTTCTCCTGCTTTTCTTGACTCTCCCCCTCTGACTGTTCTATTCAAAATTAAACTCTGAGCTATTCTAGGTTATGCCAGGGGGAGCAGTCTCATAGGGATCAATTCTTTGCAGAGGAGCAGATGGAGCAATGTGTGCATTGGTCCTGCCCCACCAGGTGGCATGAAGTTAACTATGCTAGCCTCAGGCCGCCCATGGATTGTCCTGCACTGGGAGAGCTCTCAACTGTCTTCTTGGAGTTTCTGCAAGTGCTTCTTTGCAGCCAGTGTGGTAGAAAGACACCTGGGATAAATCTACACTGCAATCTCTCACCTGAGGTTGCCCTCGGTCAGCTGACTCAGACTCCTAGGGCTCAGGCTGTGAGACGATAATCCTGCTGTGGACATTCAGGTGGCTCTGTGTAAGGGGACTGCTGGTCCCTTATTAAAACTCAGTCTGCGTTTTTGTTGGTAAACTTCCAGTATGAAAAAGAAAGTGATGGGTCTTTGAGAAATCAGGATCCTGAGACTGACAGCTTTCAGGAACAGTGGGAAGAAGCCAGCACTCCCAGTCTTCCTGAATGCCAGGTCTTCCTGGGGAGAGTCCTGTCCTCCGTGTCAGCTAGTTTTCCTGGATCAGACTGAGTGGGCAGAGCTAAGGAGGCGTCATGTGCCCAAGCTGAGCTGGATGGGTGGAGAGCCATGCCAGCCAGAGACACAGCCTGGAAGCAGAGCCATGCTGGGAATAAAGCTGCAGACATGGAGGCAGAAACTACCCTGGGAACTGGAGACAGCACAGCAGAGAGTGGAGCTGGGGCTGGAGCATGCTGGAGCTGGGTGTGGTAAGCAGCAGGGGGAACCCTGGGTAGAGGCTCAGTGTAGGGGTCTTCACCAGACAAGAAGCCTTGCTGGCCTGGGGAACGGCTGATGCTAGAAGAAGGGTCCTGCCGCCCAGAGCAAATGTCTGACCTGCAGCATCCCTGTAGCACAGCCAAGGCCGGAGGAGGTGGCCTGGTGCCTACAAGAAACAGACTGTGAACTGCCCTTGTATTCCAGACACACTGTTTGTGAGGTATCCGAGCCATGGGGTGGAGTGATGTGTTTTCCATTCACTTTTTCCATCCCACCCCTCTTTTCTAAAACTGATGGTTGTTTAATGAATTGGATTTGCTTTCAGCTGTAAGTAATCATCAATGGGTCCATGAAAAGTCTAGTAAGATGAGAACACCCCAGAGTGGGGACACCCTAGCCCCTGCCCTAGGTGACCTCAGCAAGTTTAGGGGTCAAGCCCCCAGGAATCCTGGTGCCTGCATTGTTGGGGTTATGAGGACTCTGTCATCCAGGAGAGTGGAAGGGGCACACTTGAGGGCAGGGAGGCTTCTGGGTAAAGGAATTGGGAGCAGGGACTCAGATCCTTTCACTAGCCCACTTCCCTGGGGTGGTGCAAAAGCCACGAAAGTTCCCCACAATAGTGGGACCATTCCCCCGCTTACATCTGGGACCTGATGGAGGGGAAGGATCCTAGACGTTTGTATCCAGCCCAAGCCCAAATGTCTGCCCCTCAGTTTTAAATCCGGAGTCCCACGAGCCCAAGTTTGCTGACACAGGCCCACTTACAGAGGGGTAAATGCAATGCAGACATACCCTGAAAATATATCCAGGTCACACTGATGTAGTCCTATTTCAAATGGGACTACATTAACAAAATACCTTTTAAAGGGCACTTACAGCACACCACCACTTTACCACGGTTCACAAATCACACCCCTTTGGGGCACTTTGCTAGTGCCATGTAGACAAACAGGGTTGAGAATCTGTTTTTCTTTTGGAGGGAATAACCATGAGTGAACTGAAATACTAATCCAATGCACACGTCTTTGGCCATGTACATCTCTATGAAAAGCATGAGCTAGAAGGTATCAATATTTACATCCCCTGAAAGATTAACATCACTGTAGCACTTCTTAATACCCCATCTGACATTTCTGTTAGCCTTGTTCTAAGGGCCTGAAAGGATAGAAATATCTAGTGCATCAATTCCTATTTGTGGGTATTTAAAATTGATTTTAAAAAATCAAGATACAGATTCCAAAAGCTTTAATGGTGACACTAATTATTTGCCAAAGGCAAATGTTGCCCTCAGTGACTGTACCCTATTTACAACCTGATTATAGTCAATGGGTTTGCATGCACATCAGGGCAATATTTGGGCACCATAACCCCATGATAATACATTCATTGCATCTAGGGCCCTACCTAATTCCTGGTTCATTTTGGTCAATTTCATGGCTGTAGGATTTAAAAATAGTGAATTTCATTATTTCAGTCACTTAAATGTGAAGTTTCATGGTGTTGTAATTATACAGGTGACCCAAAAAGGAGTTTGGAGGCGGGGGGAGGGTTTCAAAATTATTATAGGGGGGATTGAGTAGAGCTACCCTTATTTTTGCATTGCTGCTAGCAGTGGCACTGCCTTGAGAACTGGGTAGCTGGAGAGCGGCAGCAGCTAGCCAGGAGCTCAGCTCTGAAGGCAGCAGCAGTGCTGAACTAAGAATGGCATGGGATGGTATTGCCACCCTTACTTCTAGGCTGCTGCCTTCAGAGCCAGGCCTCCCAGCCAACAGATACCACTGTCTAGTCGCAGAGCTCTGGAGTCAGCACAGAAGTAAGGGTGTCAATACTATGACCCCTCTAAAATACCTTTGAGATCCCTTGCAACTCTTTTTGACAGGATCCCCAATTTGAGAACCACTGCCCCCCACGAAACCTGCATAGTATAGAGTAAAAGCACCTAAAAGACCAGATTTCATGGTCCATGACATGTTTTTCATGGCTGTGAATTTGGAAGGCCCTTATTATATCTCAGGCTATGTCTAGAGAGCAGCATTGTTTTGGAATATCTGCCACCAGTTACTCCGAAATAACATAGTCCACGTCTACACTACAAGCAGTTATTTCGACAATATCAAAATAACGTTAAGCTGGAGGACTTCTTACTCCAGCTCCTGTAACCCTCATTTTATGAGGAGTAAGGGAAGTCAGAGGAAGAGTGCGCTTTCTCTTCGACTTCCTGCTGTGTAGACATCACCAAAAGCCGAAATTAGCTCTTTTGCTTAAAACTTAATTGACGTAGCTCAGGTTGCGTAGCTTATTTCAGCTTTAGCCTGGCTGTGTAGATGTGCCCCTAGTGATTTAGGTCCCAGTCTTGCAATGGGGGCTCCCCATACAGAGCCTCACTGCAGGACTGGCCATGGTGAGAATTGTTATTGGTTGCCACGTGGTTGCTATTGTTCCCAGTGAGGTCACAGCATCGTTACTGTTACCTGGACTCATTGGTTAACCCTTGCTTACATGCAGCCCCCCACCTGTTGCCTATGTACCAGAGGCAGCAGGGTGGGGAGAGGAGGCGGGAGCTGGTGCACATGAGGAGCCGGCTTTCAGCTGGCTCCCTGAGCATGCTTACTCCCATGGAACTGCGTGCCCCTGCTCCCCACTGCCTCCTACAAGGCAGCAATGGGGTGGTGGGAGGAAGCCAGTGCTCTCAGGGGGCAGGTTTAAAAGCCGGCTCCCCCGCTGTCCCGAGCACTGGCTCCCACGGAGCCACTTGCCCCACCCTCCCTGCACAGCTGCCTCTGAAAATGTTAGCGGATACACGTTTACACAAATAAACACAATAAACACATTTTAACATCCCTAATGGTCAGAACTCGTCAAGCGGTAGTGAGCCCTGCTCGCCAACCATGTAGTTCTGCGCATGTGCAGATCGCTCTGCGCCGGTTCTTCTGGGATGTAATCTACTCGCCACGGGCGAGTAGATTACATTATTTGTCAAGCCCTGCTAATGGTTACTGCTGAACAATGGGCAGCATTTGGCATCAACTGAGTAAATAATCAGTCACTGCAGTACAATAATCATCTTGTTCATCTATTTCTTATATTGAAAGACAATATAGTTGATTCAAGAAGATGGAACTAGAGGTTGTGTTAGCAACCCAGCACTAACCTTTTCCAGTGCAGCCTGGACAACTGACTCGCTTTCTGTATCCAGGGCAGACGTGGCCTCATCTAACAAGAGAATTTTAGGTTTGCGCACCAGAGCTCGAGCGATGGCTATTCTCTGCTTTTGGCCACCACTCATCTGTGCTCCTCTCTCTCCTACGAGAGTATTAAATTTCTAAGAAAACAGCAGAGATACCATCAGTTTTGCACTATAAACAATTAACTGCTAATAGAACTTGAACCACTGTGAAGTCAATGAAAGACCCCTGCCCTACCTTCCCCCATTGATTTCAGTAGGCTTTGGCTCATGCCCAGAGCAAAGCAATATAATTCTCTATTACGGGAGCACCCAAATGAAAGGAAAGCTGAGGTTATATTGTCTGATCCACAACTTGCAGAATACAAAACCCATTTTCAATGAAATCTACACAAAGCGTCACTGTCAGTAGCAAAAGTATTCCCACAATGGAATTTTTTCAGATGGTTCTAAGGACCAGAGGAGCAGTTCAAAGCGACAGAGGACGTTTCTGGTAGGCGTGGTACTGGAATGCAGGTTTCTCATGTGAAAGCTTATCCCCTCAGCCCCAGCACCCCCTTCTTTCTCTCTCTAAAATACAACAAACCCTCCAAACACTGCACCACATAAATGCTCTGCTGCCGTGATTCAGCCAGGTTCTGAAGCACCGGCATACCATGAAACACCTAATTAGTTCTATTAACAGTGAGGCTACTTATGTGCCTGAAGCCATGCACCTGTCTAAGTGCCTTGTTGAATAGAGACCTTTGTGCCATAAACACTACCCTTACCACCGCCTTCCATGCCTACAAATACAAGTTTTGAGTGATACAGCAATTTCCACGCTCAGCCACAAGGTGGCTGCAAAAAGCAATGTTTCCTTGCTTACATTTATCAGCTGGTGCTGAGTTTCTGGCACATGTATTCTGTGATTTTGCAGAGGGGCCACAATCCCTAAACTTGGGGCTGAGATTAAAGGAAAGAAAACCATATTTCTTACTTCTAAGATGTATTTATATCTGAAGCTTCAGGGGGTAGCTGAGTTAGTCTGTTACAGAAAAAAAACAACAACAAAAGGTCTGGCAACACTTTATAGACGAACAAAACATGTAGATGGTATCATGAGCTTTCGTGGGCACAGGCCACTTCTTCAGATGATGGGAGTTACCGGTTATCTGAAGAAGTGGGCTGTGCCCACGAAAGCTCATGATACCATCTACATGTTTTGTTAGTTTAAAAAGTGCTACCAGACCATTTGTTCTTTATTTATATCTGAGTCATCCATGCTTCTAGTGTTTGGATTGACAGTTATCCCTCTGCCCACCATAACCCTTATTTATTTCTATTTCCTCAGATGTCTTCTTCAGAGAATTTAGAGAAGCATTGCAATTGCTGTACTTTCCTTCGGTCTCTATCTCACACATGAAAAATCTCTCACTTTAATTTCAGTTCATGTCTAAGAACACATGTTATTGTAAGCATCATACTTACATCAGGAAACTCCATGATAAAATCATAAGCATTTGCTTCTTTTGCTGCATTCTCAATTTCCTCATCAGTTACATCCTCTCGACCATATTTTATATTGTTTCTAATTGTTGTCCCAAACAGAACAGGTTCCTGACTGACCACACCAATGAATTCTCGGTAATGCCTCACATTAAGAGACTTTATGTCATGTCCATCCACTGTGATCTAAAGGAAACAGAATTTGAGGTTGTATATTATTTTTCATATTATTTTGTATTACCAATGCACCTAGAAGCGCTAATCATGGACCACAACTCCAATGAACTAGATGCTGTACAAAGGCAGACCATAAAGACATTTCTGTTCTTGACTCTTTCTAAGCCTTTAAGACAGAAACTTCCCATTAAGTTTAAAAAGAGCTCTAGAGGCAATCCTGGCAATTACAAACCGGTAAGTCTAACTTCAGTACTGGGCAAATTAGTCGAAACAATAGTAAAGAATAAAATTGTGAAGCATGTAGAAGAACATAATTTGCTGGACAAAAGTCATCATGATTTCTGTAAAGGGAAATCCTGTCTTACTAATCTGTTAGGGTATGTCTACACTACAACGTTAATTCGAACTAACTTAGTTCAAATTAGTTAATTCGAACTAAGCTAATTCGAACTAACGGATCCAGACTAAAAAACTAGTTCGAATTAGCGTTTTGCTAATTCGAACTAGCATGTCCACATTAAGTGGACCCTGAACCGGGGTTAAGGATGGCTGGAAGCAGTGCCGGCAGAGCATCAGAGGAGGACTTAGAGCGTGGAGATGCTGTCTCAGGCTAGCTGAGGGCTGTGCTTAAAGGGTCCCAACCCCCACCCTGGACAGACAGTTCTCAGGGGTGCCCCGCTTGCAAAGCAGTCCTGGCTTGGATTGCCCGGACTACCCACACTGGACACATCACACCACTCGGCCATCAGCCCGGCTGCACTTGCCGCAGGCTGCCATCTGGGGAGAGGAGGCAATTGGAGGGCTGCAGGAGAGCTTCCACCCCCAGAAGCCCGCAGAGCCAGCCCAGTCCTCTCCATCGGGGGCTCCACCTCCTTCCACTTACCCCTTCCTAGCCCCCCTTCCTGCTGTACAAAATAAAGGACAATTGTGTTCAAAAATGGAATCTGTCTTTATTGAACAATCTGGGGGAGACTGGGAAAAGGAGGTGGGAGAGGGGAAGAGAGAGGGTGGGAGAGGGGAGGGCAACTACAATGATGAGGGGTTGGGAACAGGTCCCATATGAAGAGAGGCTAAAGAGACTGGGACTTTTCAGCTTAGAAAAGAGGAGACAGAGGGGGGACAGGACAGAGGTCTCTAAAAGCACTAAAATGATCAGGGGTTGGGAACAGGTCTCATATGAAGAGAGGCTAAAGAGACTGGGACTTTTCAGCTTAGAAAAGAGGAGACGGAGGGGGGACAGGATAGAGGTCTCTAAAAGCAGGAGTTGGGTGGAGAGGGTGCATACAGAAAAGTTCTTCATTAGTTCCCATAAAGAAGGACTAGAGGACACCAAAGGAAAGGAATGGGTAGCAGGCTTCAAACTAGTAACAGAAAGTTGTTCTTCACAAAGCAAAGAGTCAACCTGTGGAACTCCTTGCTGCAGGAGGCTGTGAAGGCTACAACTAGAACAGAGTTTAAAGGGAAGTGAGATCAAATCATGGAGGTTGGGTCCATGGAGTGGTATTAGTCATGGGGTAGGAGTGGTGTCCCTGCCCAAGGTTTGTGGAAGGCTGGAGAGGGATGGCATGAGACAAATGGCTTGGTCACTGTCTTCG